ATATGATATACCCTTCTTGGTGGATACAGTGACATAATTTACTTTTCATCAAACTATTGAAGCTCTTTCAGTTGTTCCATAACCCGAGCTGGCATTGAGGTTTTTCAGTCTCTTATTACTTCTTTGATAAATGGTGGAAAATTTATAGATGAACGCGTTGTTCACTCCATTTCTTCCTGGTTTCTTATTTATGTAAACTTTTAGTTATAATCAGGCAGCTAATGACTGTGAGCTCGAGCCAATTGCGGTAATTAATTACTCTCTCGATCAGTCCCTTCAACTTAATTCTCTGAATCAACAATTCATTGAGATTGGTTCCTTAATCCCCTTACCGCTGAAGATTTTTTTTTCGCTTGCAAATCAGGATTCAAAGGCTCAGGTGACTGCTATACATCTAATTGTTGGAACTCTCCAGAGGATGCTAGTATTCGGAATTGAGGATACATTAACGCACAAGGCCACCGGAGTAAGAACCCTCAACTCTTTCCTTCTCAGTAACATGTTCCCTTTATTATACTAACAAACCCCGTGAATAACTTGGCTCTTCTTTCTTTTTGCAAGTATTCTGCAAAGCTTTTGAAGAATCCTGACCAATGCCGAGCAGTTTATGCCTGCTCCCACCTCTTTTGGGTCGATGACCAGGCCTGGAATCAAGGATGGAGAGAGGTCCTTTTTAGAATCTGTATTTTCATCGGACTTAATATTCAACTGAACATCTCTAGGTCTGTTTGGCTCGTAATTTGTAATCTCAGAGTCATGTTGTGCCTAAAGCGGGACTTGAGGATCGCAAATGCAGCCTTGACCCCAGCTTTGGAGTTGACATCGTCATTGTCAGGCTAATCTTTCCTGTGTTGCTGCAGGTACCTCTACTTTTTCGAGAAGGGCAATCCGCAGATCACAAGCAATATGATCCAGGATCTGGTTGAACTAATAACCGAAGAGATGCAAAGTGACTCTGTTACTGTAGATCATGCTTCCGATGCTTTCTTCGCCAGCACACTCCGGTACATCCGGTCCCAGAAACATAAAGGTGGTAGTATAGGTGAGAAATTCGAACCAATTGCTGTCTGATTTCTCACATAGAAAAAGGGTATCCGTTTGGTCTCATTTTCTTAAATCAGGTTATTGAAATGTGTATTGTAGCCTGAGTGCAACATCATTCTCAAAGTTTGTATTGCAAATTATATACATAGACGATTCTTGGTGCAGCTCCAGCAAGTGGAGCTTTTGAGTACATTAAGAATGCTCTCAGGTATATGTTTTTAATGAGTAGTCTTCTTTTTATATTTCTTGGAACCAATTCAATTTCTAGTTGCAGTTTGATGTACTAAATAATACTTTAAGCTTTAAGTTGTCTCATGTTAGATGCTCCTAATGTATCTCAGGGAATGGAGGATGTGATTATGAATTTCATAAAGAGCTCCAGGTATCAGGTGAGGAAGCGCATAGAGCTTCTGTCCAGAACTTGTAAAAGAGGGAGGATATCTCATGGGTATTTTCTTTTGGCTTTGAAGAGTAGATCATTAGGTTCTTTCCTTTGGCTTTGAAGAGTAAATCACTAGGTTCTTTTACTGCTACTATGTTTCTTTGGATGATTCTTGGATATTTATGGTAATTAACATTTAGCTATGTAAAACAATATTATATTGAATCATGAATCATGGTATGAATGATGTAATATATATACAAAAGTTTGCCAGCAACAAGTTTGGTTGTGAGTTTTCCTATAGTAACCAGAGTATTTGTAACCAACTTATAGAATCCAGTGTTAGGGTCTTCTTAGTGACCATATGGAGTTGGTTGCAAATCAATTAGTCACGAATAAAGCAAGAGTTTTAACCCTTGCTAGTGTTTAGAAACAATTTTGAATTCTTACAGGTCTCTATTTAGTGACCATAATAAGCTCGTTGCAAAATTAATTAGTCACGAATTAAGCAAGGGTTTGAACCCTTGCTAGTTTTATCAACAAATTTTCCAAGGGTTCAAACCCATGATACAAACATATCTCTATTGGATTTTACATTCCAGTGTAGCAAGGGTTGTAACCCTCGGTATATGTAGCAGGAGTTAAAACCCCTGCTACAATCCTTGGAGGGGACTTTCACCGTGGGTTGCTAAAAACCCTTGCTATGTGTAGCAGGGGCAGCATTGGTGAGGGTTCGTCCATGGGTTGAGAAAACCCTTGCTACAACTTGTAGCAAGGGTTATAACCCTTGGTATAGGTCAAAAAAACCCTTGCCATAGCCCTATTTTTTTGTAGTGCAAACCCACCCAAATTCGTATAGAACTTCCCACAACTGAGTTCACGGAATGACACAGTGGCTTCCTTTGTTATCTTTCCTATTTTGGGCGGCAGGGTTCCATCAACTCCACTAGAAATGGCGATAGATTACATCCACAGTGATTTCGAAGACGCAGAGCCTCCCTCGATCACAAGTTTGAAGCACACTTACCCTCATCAAGAGTTCATCGATCATGGCAACGTCTCCAATGCCGTATGTGATCCCAGAGGGTTCGAGTTCTTAGTTCATGATTTGGCGTACCAATTCTTGAACCATAGTAGCATGTCGCCCAACTTGTTGCTCAACAAGGTACATTATTCCGTGTATGCGTACATTTCGATTAGTTCAATGTTTAGATGACACTTGGAGTCTATTAATCCAATTCATTTCATTCAATCAATGAATCCACCAATCCATTTTATCCAAAATTCATGATTCCACCAATCCACTAATCCAATTCATCAATCCATTTGCCACCTATATTCTTGGCTGACAGCTACTGTGCCAAAATGTATAACTAATCCGTGAATTTCAGGTTCTTACGGAGATAGTTTACACAACGAGAGGAGCGAGAGTTAAAACTCAGGATGGTTACAGCACAGCAAAGAATGACCTACTCAGGGTAAATTATTATCGTGTGTAAATCCTTTGTAACTGTAATTTATGTCGACCGTTTTTCTAGCACTAATAACACGTGTTCATGGGTGCATTTGATTTCGATATGCGACAGGCTCGGGATCGGTTAGCATGCTAACCCTTGTAAGGGGTTGGAAAAATGACACCCCTATTAATTATAGTTATTTTTTGTATTAAATTCATGTTGCATTTAATAATCTTTGGAAATTAAAAACTCATCTTAATTACATTCCTTTTTTTTAACTACCATTGTACTGATACAACTACCATTGCACCTGTATACTGAACTCATATTAATTACGTTCCTTTTTGGAACTACCATTGCAGTGATACATCTACCATTGCACATGTACACAACTACCAGTGCACTGATACAACTACCAGTGCACTGAAAAAAGGAAAGTAATTAATATGTGTTTTTAATTCATACAGATTATTAAATGCAACACAAATTAATTACCTTAAAAACCTATAATTAATAGGGGGTGTCATTTTTCCAACCCTTTTATGGGTAGGCATGCTATCTCATCCCGACAGGCTGGTGTGGATTCGGTTTATTTTACCGGATAGCACACCAACAGTAAATATTTGGGTTACGTGAGTGGGGCTTACTTGGCAGGTAAATTAATTGGTTGCTTCTCTTCGCAACATTTTGCATTCCTTCATGTTGTGGTCTTGTTGTTTATTGCAGGAATTGATACCGCTAGAGATTTGATCAAATCCATCAAGGCTGAAGAAGGAGTGAGATTGTCTCTCGAAAAATACAGAAAGGGGTGGTATTGATGTTAGATTTGAAAGATGTGTCGAATTTATGAAATTGATTATAGTGGTGTGACAATTGTATCTGAATCTCAAAATATATTTTTTTTTTTATAATGATGATAGCCTTTTATTAATTTAAACAAAGAAAAGATACAATCGAACAAAGTACACGCACAAGAGGCAGAGGTAGAGAGCCAAACAATCGACCTGCATGCTGGAACAAAAACGAAACATTACGGAAACATTACAGGAAAGGAGCTGAAATCCAGGCCCTGTATACAAAGTAACGAAGAAGCCGAAGTGGGATAAGCCCGAATCTAGTATCTGAATCTCAAAATTTGGTTGATAGTTTTTGGATTTCTTGATGAATTGTGATATTTTGACGCGAGGTGATATTAATATTAGAGATGACAATTTTAAAACCAATATGATCCGATCTATTAACTAAAATATCTAATTGATCTAATTCATTTAAATCTAATTCAAATTCAATTGAATTGATAGATTGTTGGAAAATTATAGTTTAGTGCTTACAATTTTTGTTCTTTACAATTTCATACAAAAAAATTATTTTTTTTATGAAAAAATCCATTTATGATGTGTATCATTAGATCTCTTATTTCCATACCACAACTATTAGTTCTATATATATAGTACTACAAATGGGAAGGATTTTGTATTATAACCTAAGTCTTATTTTATCGAAAAATTGGTAAGACAAGATGTATGGAACAAAGGTAAACCAATGATACACCTCATTCTCAACAAACAGCAATTACACACTCATAACATTCACTTTTTTTGTTACTTAAATGGTTGTCAAACTCAAACCGGTGGCATGTCAGCCGGTAGAACCGGATTCAACCGGTATCAATTATAAAATCGGTTGGAATGTGTTCAGTATGACTGGTATTTGAACTCTAAGCAAAATGATGTCGTTTTGGTGAATTTGATTAAGAATTTTTTATTTATTTGTTTCTTGAATGTAAAAGTTAAATGTTAATGGTATTTGTTGGATTCAAATATGAATGTTTAGATGTTTTTATTTTATTTTTTGAATTGAAGTATAAACGTTTGGATGTTGGCATAAAATGTTGTAGATTTATCTTTTCAAATGTGTTATATATGTTCCTAACTTCATTTAGTGTTAATAATTTCCCACTTACCTCCATATTTACTAAAATCGACGTAAATTAGTTATATTACCGGTTAGGGCATACCACCACGACTTGGTTATTTATCACAAGTTAGTTTTAGCCTTTAGGGTTCCTCCTAATAAAATTTAAACACCCTTTCTTGTAGACCTGACTAACTCGTATACTTTTCCTGTAGCTTTGCTACTAGCAAACTGAGCCGAAACCTTATTTTCCGACTTCCTTCCGGTGTCGCTAAGGAGTAAGAGGACTGATCTCTCTGTTTTCTCCCAAAAATGTCTATGCCTAGCACGTGCTCGATGAAATGCCCCTGAGAAAGCATTCCACGCCGGCGACCGTCGATTTTCCTACCGAACCCACATCTCTGACCTTACACTGGAGCCTAGTCACTCTATTCATCCATGAATTCCTTCACAATCCCTGCTATTCGCTCTCTCCCCACCGCCGCGCTCCCTTCTTCCTTCACCACTCGGGACTTTAGGGCAGGAAATTGTCAGCCATGATAAGAGAAGGTGGTGGCTCCGAGAACTGATCAAGCAGCTGCGCGAAGTGGGGGTTCGATCTTGGTATTGATGGCGTCCATGAACTTCTCCATATCAGCAGCTCGAACCCAGCTCGGATGGGATCACATTAGGTATCGTTCTGAAACGAATTTTGTTATTCCCTAAAGTGTCTACAGTACTCAAAAGGAGCATCGAAGTATCTGCTGACTTGGAAAACCAGTTCCCTGCAGAAATTGATCATCGGATTGATGTGGCCATGACCCGGATATGGCAGAGCGACAATGTGGCATGAACTTCGTGTTTCTTCCATGATTGCTGGATATGGACATTCAAATTACAATGTCATATGACCATGTTAGCAGGTTCCAAACGACAGACACATGATTGGCAAAAAAGAAACGAGCACAAAAGTGCGCATTTTTTTGTGTGGTGCCGACTTTGTTAATTGTTTTGCAGAAGAGCCAAAGATACTGATTCAACTGCACAACAGGCACATGTCCTAATTCAGGTCATTTCAATAATCTCTCCACCAAGGGAAGAAAGTTCGTGTGTGTGACCTAACAAATGCACGTATTTGTAAGGTGAAAAAACGTGGTGGGCTCATTATGCTTCCAAATCCAAATACACATTTGAACATGGAGCAGCAGCTTATTCTGGTAACACTTCTTCTGATTCCTCTGCTGGTTTCAGCAGCAGAAACTCCTCCTCCCCCATCACCCTCCGCTGCCTCCGTTATCATTATTGGTGCTGGATTATCAGGTGATCTTCACCTAGCCATGTTTCGTGGTTTCGTTTCTTCGATTTTATGATAACATATTAACATATCCCTCACCACCATCATCCCTTTGTTGTTTGAAGGAATGGTAGCAGCAAAGAAACTGAGTGACGCAGGTATCAGGGAGTTGCTGATCCTTGAAGCCACCCCGAAGATCGGCGGCAGGCTTCACAAGACTACATTTGGTGGGTATGCGATGGAGATGGGCGCGGCCTGGTTCTCCGAAGGAGGGCCTCAGCAGAGCCCCTTGGTCGACATTGCCAAATCCATCAAGCTCCGTACTCATACCACCGAGTTTTGGAACATTTCGTCCAACACCTACAAACAAGAGTAAACAATTAAGCCTCCAAATCTCATCAGTCATCACCCCGACCATGTTTCTTGGCTTCTCAACATGTTGAATTTTCGTGTTACAGGGGCGGATTGTACCCGAAATCAGAAGTCGAAGAAGCATTCGCAGCAGGCAAGGCCAGGGAACGGTTATGCGCGAACCTCTCTGCTGTACTGAATGCTGTCCCGGAACATGACCATGATATCTCTGTTCTTGGGGCGTACCACCTTCATAAAAAGTAAACAATCACTAATGTCGCTTGTTTGTTTGTTCTTGTTAAGGATAGTAAAGATTATGTTGCTTGATTCACAAGTAAAAGGGTACTGTGTGTTTGTCTGGGTTTCGACCGTGTTTTTTTCAGGGTCCCATCGACGCCTCTTGAAATGGTGGCGGACTACTACAACAATGACTATAAAGACGGCCAGGCGCCACAGATGACGAGCACGAAGCACAAGCACCCGAGGCACGAGCTCGTAGATCATGGTACGAACGTCTACTTCGTTAGTGACCCCAGAGGGTTCGAGACTGTGGTTCATCACGTTGCAGATCAGTTCCTGGACAAGAGAGATCCCAGGCTGAAGGTTAATCAGGTAACAAACAAACAAAAAATGGACATCTAATCATCCAATTCTTGCTGTTGTTTAACATGGACTTATTGTGACCTCGTTGTTTGAGATGCTGTGGTTCAGGTGGCTAGAGAGATTTCATATTCTAAGAAAGGAGTGACTGTGATGACAGAGGACGGGTCGATTTTCCAGGCTAGATATGCCATTGTCTCAGTGAGCTTAGGAGTTCTACAAAGCAACCTGATTTCCTTCAAGCCTGAACTCCCGGTTAGGATCCTGTTATTCATTCTTCCCTCCCCCATCACCTGATATCCGAATTAACTGAAATTCTTACACCCATTAACCCGATTCGGTCTTGATGCCTCTATGTGAACTCCAGATGTGGAAGAGATTGGCCATATCAGATTTCACAATGACTGGCTACACCAAGATATTCCTCAAGTTCCCTTTCTACTTTTGGCCTACTGACCCTGGATCCGAGATCTTCCTCTACACACATGAGCAGCGTGGATACTACCCTATATGGAAGGTAAACTTTTTTTTACAGCATTCTACAGGGAATCTCAACTGAATAGATTGCCCCCTAGCTACATTGTTGCTGTTTCTTGTTGCAGCATCTGGAGAACCAGTACCCTGGATCCAACATACTCTATGTGACGGTGACAGGCGAGGAATCAATGAGGATAGAGAGGCAATCGGACGAAGCAACCCAGGAGGAGGCAATGAAAGTTCTGAGGAAGATGTTTGGCGATAAAATTCCAGACCCGGAGGCCATACTTGTCACCAGATGGTCGAGGAACAGGCTCATCAAGGGTAGCTTTGCGAATTGGCCGCCCCGTTACACCAAGAAGGAGTTCCAATATTTGAAGGTCATTACTTGATAATCCTTTTTCTTTCTTTGTAAGTAGATTGAACAGTTAACGATAGGAATGATCATGAACTGAGATTGTTGGTGTTGCTGTTTACAATTCAGGACCCAGTTGGTCCAGTGTACTTTACAGGGGAGTACACCAATGAAAAGTACATGGGATTTGCCACCGGAGCTTATTTCTCAGGTAAGTCCCCTTGAAATCTCGGTTTCTCTTTTTGGTTTATGAGTATAATGTGTCGATTGAAGTGATTTCTGATTCTTGGATTGTTTCAGGTATTGAGACTGCAAACGATTTGATCAACTGCATCAAGAAATATGCGTGCAGAACCCACTCCAGAGGGACGATTGCATAAAATAAATGTATCTTCATGTGTTTGCATGACCGGTTGCTCGAGAAGTTTAGCCAAGAAAATAACTGGTTGATTAGCTTGGGAATGGTGGACTATTCTTCTTTCAGGGACAATGCTATACCTCTGAATATTTGCTAGTTGTTATGAAGGATTGTGAAACTCTATAGAAAGTTATACTGGAAAAAAATTGACAATAATTTATTAAAATTGTGATTCAACCATTTAGTTATCATGGAAACTATACTCGACATTTCCGTCCAACCAGACGGTATGGTGATTGTTTGGTTGAGATAGTTACAAAACATGAATTTTCCACAATGCATCATTTTTCTGAATTTTCTGCACAAACAATAAATGCATGGTTTGCTTGATGTGACAAAAACTATCACTTAACATAAGTGATAGTTAATCTCAAGTTTTGAAAGTGATAGTTAAATCTCAAGTTTTGGGTGAGATTGTTTGATTGAGATATTGTGGGTTTTTTCTTCCAATTTTGTCCCTACCTTTTTATATGTCTTGCTTTTTTATATTATAAACAAAGGGTAAAAGTGACATTTCACCCGACAAGTAAGATAACTCATTTAAATAACACAATAACTATCACATAAACTAAATGATGTAAATTACAATACACCGATTTTCTTATATACATGTATATTATTATGCATGCATTAATGAATGACAACGAGCCATTTATTGGGCTTTAGTTTGTTTGCTCTTCCTGGAATGGCACTCGATCTAAGTCCATTTTCTATGTTCCTTTGTGATATGTCTCGTATTACCAACTTCATGCCCTCGTGATGGCAGACATTGCTAGAGTTTCGGATTGAGAATGAATTCAGACTTGATTGAATGGAAAAAAGGTGAATAAAATACACAACATTACAGCTTATATAGACTGTCTTGCTAACTAACTCATAACTAACCTATGGCTATTTACAATATGGTCATCTAACTATTTGCGAATTTACATTCTGGTCCTATATTCTAATAGACTTCGTATTTTTAGAGTAGTGAACCAACCCTCAGCAACTTCTATGTCTACTTTCTTGGCGCACAAACTAACCATCTTCCAATTAAGCTTCAAACTGTATAGCATACGATTTGTAGCCATGATGCAACTCCTTCAAAAATCCTAGAGTTCTTCTCCCTCCATATCTCGACCAACAAAAATGCGTGCAACAGAATTCTCGTACACCATGCCCCTGCATTGTCCAGTTGCTCTTGAGGCCACCCTGAGATTGTTGTCGAGGTGTCCTATCTCACAATGTCGTTCATTCTCACGAAATTACCGATCAAGTTCCAAACATATTTCTTGCGAAAATACAGCTAAGAAAGATGTGGTTGATGTTTTCTTCCGCTTGCAAACACAACTCGCGCCTGCTAGGGGTCATTCACCCTCTCTTTCATTTAGCGCATCATGAGTAAGAATTCTTTCATCGAAAACAGTCCACATGAAAAAGCAAATCTTCAGAGGGATCGCCTTGTTGCCACACCATATGAACTGGGAAATCAGTCATGCTAAGAATTCCTCAAGTTCTTCGTCTAGGTATAGGTGGTGAGCATGAGAGGGGAGATTAATTAGCGATTCCGGAGAACTTGTGGTCCAAGAAATTGCCAAACCTTGCCAAACCCACGGGGATCAACATGTTCCACATGAATGGTCATAAAGTTAGTTATTCACTTGCCAAACCCATATTCATTGATTTTATATCAACCTTAACGTCCATCTACAACTATCCATGTAATAAACCAACTGACCCCAATAACTCGAGTTATTAGAGGATGTCCATGTATAGCATTTCATTATTTTCTTACACACCCGACCTCTAACGAGAACCAAACTCAGGGTCGGGTTGAAGTTTGCACAAACCCACCATACCATTTGATTTAAAGACAATGGGTAATATTGAGGGTCGTGAGAACTTCGATACGTGACCTCCAAGGACAAATTAGCTTTGATATCACGTCATAAATCAACTTGTTCTAATAACTCGAGTTGTTGGGAACTGTGCATTTAATTGTATTTAACCACTTCCTTACAACCTAATTATACCTTTTTTATTTTTTGAACTATAAATATCGTAGCTAAATAGACTCACTCTTGGAGACGCATTTCACAAAAATAGTTTCCTTAGCTTACACCCATGGCGTCAAAAGCAACTTCCCCCGCCGTCGAAGTCATCATCGTCGGAGCCGGGCTCTCAGGTTCGTAATATTATTAGACGTCGGTGTTAAATTTGAAACAAAATAGAAAGGGCGACTTAATAAACAACATTAATTAGTACCTTCCATGCTAGGGCTAGCAGCCGGGAAAACGCTACATGAGGCCGGAATTCGTGACATATTGATACTAGAAGCCGACAGCAAGATCGGCGGCCGGATTCGTACGGCGGAAATCGGAGGCTACACGGTGGAAATGGGGGCTAATTGGCTCACCGGAGGCGGCGGCGCCCCGAAGTCAAGCCACCTCTTTGAAATCGCTAACCGCCACCTCAATCTCAAAGTGCACTTCTCCGATTTCAGTTCCCTCTCCAACGTCTTCAAACAAGAGTACGTACTTCATATCAAATATTAATGATCCAATGCCATTAATTAATCTCAGGATGCTCTTAGTGTTAGTGTTGTGGTATATGATCCACGATTGAACCTCTCCCAACAAATCGAGTTATTGGGATAACTGGTTCTTGACATGGTATCAGAGCCTTCTGTGGCCGAGAGGTCTTGTGTTCGATTCCCGGTGACCCCTATTTGTTAAGCACATGATATTCTTGTCTTCGGACCTGTGCAAACTTCAAGCCCTTATGAGTGGCTTTTGTTTGAGGGGTCGTGTTAGTGTTGTGGTACATGATCCACGATTGAACCTCTCCCAACAACTTTTTATTGAGATCAAATGGTTCTTGACACTTTTAGTTCTATATTTGCAAATGGAGTTATTTTTCTCAATTGTCATCGTAGTATTATGTGTGTTGTTGAAATAACTTTATGTTCAAGACATTCTGCAATAAAATGAGAGAAAGAAAATTTCCCAAAAATTTAGAGTGCAATTTCAAATAATTCACCCTATTCTCGAGTATTTTGCATCAACTTGATACAATTAGGATTGCTTTTAAATACATCAAAACTGCCAACAAGAACGATTTCAGTAAAATGAAGAGCCGATGTGCTTTTGTCGGATATGTTGTGCTACAAAAGAAGAGAAGATAGGGTGTTATCCTTTCTTTTTTTTTGTAGAAATAGGGTGTTATCTTTATGGAGGATATAAGCATCATACTAACCGTATTCAACAATTGGATATTTGATAACAAAACTAATCTTAAGGGCTAAAATTAAAATAGAGGCTATTTTAGACAATTTAACTCCTACATGCACAAACTGAGTATGCACTTTAACTTCATCGTACAAATTCAATTCATACTAATACATTTTCCGCATAAATTCATTTATACTACAAATTAACGTTACGATACAAATTGACATATACATTTTCGTACAATTTTTTTTTTTTCCGTCTCTGCTGCATGCAGCGGTGGACTATACTCGAAGGAGGAGGTGGAAGAAGCACTGGCAGCCGCCGAAGCCAGGGACGCCTTGTGCACTCGATTATCAACCAACATTGTTTCCGACATATCGATTTCGAAAGCCCAGCAGATCGCCGATCGGTAAAGACTCCATGACTATCACGATTCTTGCTATTGGATTGTCCACTATTGATCTTCAGAAATTCCTGCATTGTTGTTCTGCAGGGCGCCGAAGACGGCGCTGGAGATGGTGATCGACTACTTTCAGAACGATTACGAGGACGCTGACTCCCCGAGTGTGACGAGCCTGAAGCACACCCTCCCTCGCCACGAATTCCTCGACTTCGGCGGCGAAACTTACTTCGTCGCCGACCCAAGAGGGTTTCACAGCATTGTCCATTACATTGCTAAGCAGTTCTTGTCCCACTCCCACCACTATGACGATGGTAATCACTTAACTTTCGATGATCCCAGGATCAAGCTTAACCAGGTATGATACTGTTTTTCATTAATCAAACTTTGGTTACCATTTCTTAATTTTATAAATGATGAATCAATTGCAGGTTGTCAGAGAAATCAACTACTGTGAAAACAGAGTAAGAGTGAAAACAGAGGATGGTTGTGAGTATGAAGCTAAGTGTGCAATAGTGTCTGTCAGCCTTGGAGTTCTGCAGAGCAACTTGATTAACTTCATCCCTAACCTACCTGTGAGTTTAACATACAACTTTCCTCCCTTTTCCTTTCGCCAATTCACTTGATTAGAGTGAAATGCATCTGCATAATTGATTAGAAGTGGAAAAGGCGAGCGGTGAACGGATTCAACATGGGGAATTTCACCAAGATATTCCTGAAATTCCCAACCAAGTTCTGGCCATCGAACACGGCCGGATCCGAGTTCTTCCTCTACGCCCACGAAAACAGGGGATACTACCCGACATGGCAGAACCTGGAAAACGTGCTGCCAGGGTCCAACATTTTGCTCGTGACGGTGACCGGAGACGAATCGAAACGGATCGACAAGCTCGCCGACGAGACGATCCGGGAAGAAGCCATGGTGGCGCTGAGGAAGATGTTTGGAAATGGGATCCCTGACCCTGAACAGATACTCGTGCCGAGATGGTTGTCGAATCGATTGTTTCGAGGGAGCTACTCGAACTGGCCCGTTGGGTATAAACAGAGCAACCACAAGCAATTGAAGGTCAGTTTTCTTCTTCTTCTTCTTCTTCTTCTTCTTCTTCTTCTTCTTCTTCTTTTTTTTTTTTTTTCTTTCTCCTCCACTTGTATATGAATTCAGGATTGACATTTTTGTTTCAGGACCCAGTAGGTCCAATTTTCTTCACTGGGGAGCATACCAGTACCAAGTATCTGGGTTTTGCTGATGGTGCCTATTGTGCAGGTCTCTGCAATTTTTTTTTTTTTTTTGTGTCTATATAAATTGTCTGAGTATTGAAGCACTGTTTTGAGGATTTATGATGACTATTTACTGATATAAGATACTTGAAAATCATGTAGGAGTGGATACTGGAAATGAGGTAGCCAAATGTGTTAGAGAGCATCAAACCAAGGAGAGAAAGAGTGAGCCCAGTGCCTTGCTCACAAATAAATAGAGTTCGCAATTTTGTAATCCAATCCAATTCATCCACTTAAATATTTAACTGATTCAATCCATTTGATCTAAATCAAACTGATTTGGATTCATGGACTGTTGGCAAATTACGATTTAGTATCTATGTTTTTATATTTTACAACTTGATACCTAAAATTTATTTTTTATACGACAATATCATCGGAAAATTATGTTTTGGTACCTAATTTTTTTTATTATGACGTTTTAGTACCTAAACTTTTCAAAATCTCCGTATCAGTCCAATATTTGGATGTCACATGACACATGGATCCTTGATTCAATCCACCAATCCATATGATCCAATCCATGAATCCAAAATCCATTTGATCCCTGGATCTAATCCATTTTCCACCTCTATTCACAAATTATCAAAATTTTCAGTGGTTAACAATCAAGTCCAAAGAAGAGTAAAAAAAAACCCATTTCTCTTATGGATCTCAAATTTCATTGATGCGGAAACTAAACAAGAACAAAGGACATGATAATGATAATGATGACAACCAAACACCCTTAATTTTGTTGGCCTATCCCAAAAGCCTTGTTTTGGGCATGTGTCTGTTTAGAGAGGGGAGGTTCATCGCCGGTCATGCATCCATCGGAGCAAAGATCGGAACAATCCTCCTCCGTTCCTTTACAAGCAAACTTCATGCATTTGTTAAAACACGACCAGAAAGGATCCCCGCCGACATCGTCATCAGCACGACATGAAGGCGACACGACAAGCAGTAGCACCGTGAGCACCGTCAAGACGGCAAATGTCTTCATTTTCCCAAGTTAATTAGATCACCAGGAAATAATGCTGTCTCTAATGGCTCTCGGAGTTTTTACTGGTGTTTTATAAAATCTATGGTGTAGGAAGGGAATATCCTCCTTTTGGCGATCTTATAATCAAAATCCAAGGCTGGCAATGGGATTGTATTTGGTAGGATAATATTTGGCATTTAATGAGGTAATTACGATCTTACTATAAACTGAGATTGTATAAATCTAATAATAATAATAATTCAGGAACACATTTAATTACTTGGATATTGTTGTTTGACCGTAATGGTAAAAATAATATTAAAAAAAAAAGAACGAATTGCAATTTATCTCAACTTTCTCTCTATCCTTTTTCGAGTTTGTTTTTGTGTCTTTTAGAAAGTATCGTAGAGATATGGTTCATAAGAAACTATCCAACATTAACTAACAATACACGGACGATAGTTTCTCATGAATTTTCTTCCTTAGGAATGATAAGTGGCAGATAACTGTTGATCAAGTATATGTATGCTCCAGCTTCACAGTGCCTCATGCAATGATAAAAGCACTTATAGAAAGGATTGTGAGCTTGACATGGATGTGGTGGAGCAACAAACAAACAACACAATTGCGATCGCAACGAACGACTTCCATTGTGTATTTGACTGCTTCATGCCTGAGGTCAAATCACTCTGTCTATGTTCTTCTCCCTATTCCTAATAAATTACAGAATATCCTAAATTTAGTTATTTCTAACTTCTTTAATGGGTTAATTCATCCATAGTTTAGATGCACGACTGGATAATTCTTACCTTTTCTCTACTTTTCAGAAAAAACATTAGGTCTAAAATGAAGAATTGACCATTCAATGGAATTGGAAGGAAAAAAAATTGTGGCCAGATTAACTCGATCTAAATACAAATTACTTATTATTACAAACTAAAATATTTTTGTTTTGACACTTTGATATCAGAAATTTTCTTCGTAAAATTTGGTATAGAGTCACAGACTCATAACCATACAAACAAATGACTTCTTACAATTGCCTTGTTGAACTCATCCTTATTTAAGATTATTCATTTTTAACACAATAACTCGGTTTAGACTTTTGTAACTATAAATGCTTTTTGTGTAGATATCTGAACCGACAAACAGATGTTTAGTTATTGTATTAATCCCCGAATTTATATTTTTCTACCAATACATTCAACTATTAAATGAAAATTGTCAGTCTTTGTTTGATCAATGCATAGGCCAGTGGTTGATGAAATGTGATGTTTCCCGTACATCATCTACAAATACTTCTCTAACATTCACATGTGTCATATAATACTTGTACATCGTCAAGTTTCTATTCAGACCTTTTGTTATCCAATACTTGCCTTATTTGATAGAGATATACATTAAAAATGAAATAGTAAAAAATATAAAATACTATAGTTTATTTTTTAAAGTTGATTGATTGTCAAACAACTGTTTTCTCTCTTTTCATTGTTATATTTGTTTGATTGAATAAAATATTATTATTTATGTATGTTTTCCTAATTTTTCATTAAAATATAACTTATTATTAATTTTAGTATAAATTAGCAGAAAATTGACTTAACAGTGTAATAATATGTTTTCATTTAAAAAAAGCGATATATGTTACTTTACAAACATTAGTGTATTATTGCATACATAGATATAATGTTGATCCAGCCACACACAGGAGCGTATGTCACAAACAGAACCGTGTCAGCCACTCTGTTCAGCAAAACGGCGATGCTTGCCCCGTTTGCACAGAACCTATAACTGGAACGCCTCTGAGATGATCGTCCAAGTGACGGCTAAACGAATCTCAAAGGCCCCCATGATTCCCATCACAACTAACAGACCCACAGTCTTGAGAACATACTCAGTCATATTCGGCAACTCTGCGTTCATTTGGAGCGCAATCAAGGGAAACACGAAAAGCAAACTGAAGGTGACCGCGGAAAGAGAACCGATCAACAGTAAGGTCCGTCTACCGATCTGATCTGACCCACCAACCAACTCGACACGGAAGCGTAGAAAATCCTCACGACAAGGATCAACGCATTCACCACGATCATTCCCGATCTCAAAAAATTCAGGATGACCAATAGGAGATCTTCATGGTCGGTGACGTGGAAATGTGTTATATAACCCACCACATGTTCTAAGTCTACATGTAATGTGTTATATAACCCATTACATACTCATCTTCATACGTGTAAATTAGTAAGAAAACCCCCATTTCTCTTACAACTTGTTTGGATATAATTCTGTTGGAAAATGAATTTTATTTCTTGTGAGAATCTGAATTCAAGTGGGAATTCATTTCAAGAGTTTATGTTTGGAACAAATCCAAAAGTTTGGGAAATGATTTCATCTTTTTATGTTTGGAAAAAAATGGAAATGATTTCTTACAAGTGCTTTTACAGTAATATCCTTGGTATTAATGATTTCAAATCCAAAAGTAGTAAGGGCTTTTTTGTAAAGGTGAGTCAAAATTAATGTGGGGTCCACTAATTCTATCACTCCTCCACCAATTCCGACCACTTTTGGTGGGATTTAGAATTTCCAACTTTTTACCTTTTGGAATTCCATTTCCTTTTTATTTTTTACTTTCAAACATGAGAATCATGAAAAGTTAGAGAATTGGAATTCCATTTCCTCAAAATTTAGCCTATCCAAACAGGCTATGACAAATTTCATTGATGCGGAAACTAAACATGAACAAAGGACATGATAATGATAATGATGACAACCAAACACCCTTTAATTTTGTTGGCCTATCCCAAAAGCCTTGTTTTGGGCATGCGTCTGTTTAGAGAGAGGCGGTTCATCGCCGGTCATGCATCCGTCGGAGCAAAGATCGGAACAATCCTCCTCTGTTCCTTTACAAGCTGTTTCGTTGGCGAAACTCGTGTGTTAACTGCGCACGGTTTTCAAGAAAAACACAAAAACACACGTCAATCACAACCGTCAAATATCCGCCGCCGAATGTCGGCGCCGTTGATTTGATCGATTAAAGCAGAAACCAAAAACGATCGTCAAATAGCCGCCGCCGGTATCGGCGTCGTTGATTTGATCGATGCACTTTTGACCTCTAATCAAACAACCGTTACTCGGTTCACCACCTCTCCAAACTACGTTCGAACGAGGGTGTTCAACGAGAAACGAGAAACCAAACCAAGAGTGTTCTAAGTTACGTTACCTCTACTCCTATGGAGGTTCCTCTGGAGAGCTCCGCGACTACGACTACAAGCTACGATCTACGACTCTGCAAAGGAGTTCTTTGACAGAGCGGTTCTACGAAACTCGAGAGAAAAAAGATAATTCTGCAATGGTGCAGTTGTGATTTGATTTTGCCGTCCCGAACTTCTCTCTCTTCCAAATCTTTATACTTCGCGCTTCTCCTCGTCGTAGTAACTGCCTTCGCGCCTTTGTCTCCCACGTCTTCATTCCTGTCAACCGTGCAGGTAACTTCCTCCTTGTTGCGTAACTCCCACGAGTGCGAAACCGCTTGGACACGAGGAAACTTGGCCAAAACGACACCGAGCCAAAATCCACAAAACTTTCGCCACTGCGACGTTGTTTTCTATTAAACAACATCGTTTCAGTACCGCGGCGGTGTTGATATCTCCCATGATGTCGTTTTCGACTAAACGACACCGTCTAAACCAATCCTTAAAATATTAATTAATTAAACCGGGCATCATTGTTGACACGCCGTCAAACCCTCACTTCGCGGCGCCGTTTTAATTAAACAGCATCGTTAGCTAGTTCTGCGATGCTGTTGAACTTCGCGATGTCGTTTTAACACTGTCGTTTTAACTATTGCGGCATCGTTTGGCCTACTCGCGGTGTCGTTTCTTTCCTCTTGCGGCATCGTTTTCAACTAAACGACACCGTCCTAAATAATCATTAACAATATTAGTTAATTAATCCGGTCATCACTAGTCAAACTCGTGTGTTGACCAACGACATCATTAGCGCCAAAACGGCTCCGTTTGCTTTTCCTCACGACATTGTTTGTTATTTTAAACACTGTCGTTTGCTAGTCCGCGGTACCGTTGGCCTTACTCGCGGTACCGTTTTGGATTAAACGACACCGCTGATATAGCCAAAAAATATTAATCCATGGAACGTGCCGCAGTCGGCGCTCGCATTGGGCCGGGTGAATTTTGGTCACTTGCCCGATATGATTTTTAATTGATCGGTACCGCTTACCAGGCTCTCGCGGCACCGTTTTTAAATCCGCGGTACCGTTTTAACTCTCCGCGATGCCGCTTGTCTCCATGCGGTACCGATTTTCCCCTTCCGACAAGGAATGAAGATAATAATTAATTAGAAAAAAAACTCCTTCTCCAACAAGAAACCACCTGCGCGCCCCCCTTTTGTTTTTCGGTACCGTTTC